GCAATTAATGTAAAATCAGTTCCACACATTCTCAATGCTTGATAAAAACGTAATGTATCTAAACAAGGGAAAAAGAATAAAATATTTCAATAATTTAAAATTTTAATATAAAATAAATCAAACACAAAAACCTCTATTATTCCATCGTTTTCTTCGACCAATTTTTCTATAACTTTGATGTGTTAAATTATCATCATTAAATTGTCCTTCGACAATAATTGTATTTCTTGGTGTATCATCTATATTTCGTATATATAAACTTAAAAAACGAAAAAGATTCTTTTAATATTAAAAATAGACAAAAATAAAAAACCTTTCTTCATCAACAACTAATACACCATTAGCATCAATTTTTAATTGTGGTGCTAAAATAGAATTTTGTCCATCAGTACTTGATATACTTTGTTTACGAACAGGATCATTTGAAATATCTGTTTTTGTTGTTTTAATTTTAACTCTAAATCAAACAAATAAATAAATAAATAAATAAATTGAAAATTAAAAATCTTTACTCCATTGGATTAGACACAGGATTATAATGAACAAAATCAGCTATTTTTAATTTTGATGTATCAATAGGTGTACCTTTATTAACACCAGTTTCATCAAGTTTTTCAAGTGTTATTGCACGACGTTTTCGTATTGTCTAAAATAATAATAGAAATTTTTTTTTTTTTTTGTTTTGAAAAACAAAAAATAGAATTCGAAATCTACCATATCAGGTTCAATTTTTGCAGCAAGTCGTTGTGCTCGATAATTAATATGTTGAGTAAGATATTCACGACTAACTTTTGTAGTTGTTCGAGATGATAATTGTATATGATTATGATCAATAGAAGGTGTATGTGCTTCAAATGTTTCTGTTATTATTGCTTCAGCTTTTGTTGTGGTTGATATATCACCGTTTATTGGAAGATCTGACATTGAATTTATTTGTATTTCATTAGAAAAAATTGTTCTTTATAAAGAAAAAGAATAAAAAAAAACCTATGTTAAATGGTAAAAATTTACTTAGTATTTGGTGGATTTACACGTCCAATTGTGATCGATGATGCTATTGCATGTTTTTGACGAGATGATTCACTTTCACTTTCGGTACCGGAACAACTAGCTGATGGTCTATAGAAGAAAATGAATGTAATTGAGATTAAATAGAGATTAGACAATTAGAAGAACGAAGCCGGGTGATTTCCTTTTAATAGAATCTATCGGATCCAAGAATTTCTGAACCCGGACCCGATGGACTCTACTTTCTAGTAAATTTTTCTTGCGTTCTATATTTCTCCCTGGAAATTTTTAATCCTACAATAGAACAGATCGCTTGTGTAAAAAAAACGAAGTTCTATGTACAATTTTTTAAAGAAAAATTGAATTAGATTATATTTTGAAGAATAAAATATATTAAAAAGTCAGACGATAAGACAAACATCAAAAATATGGTTTGATTATCAACATATCTCAAATTCATTTAATACATAATACAAAATCTAACTCAACATCTGAATAAGTTGCTTATTAGAATAGCAGATGATTTCAAGTTTCCCAAAACAAAAAAACTTTTTCGATTATAAGAGATCTGAAAAATTTAGAGTAAGATGCTCTTTCGAATATGATATTACTTATTATTCAGGTTGAAGTTATCCTATCGGATCAGATGGTATTAAAGTATCTAGTTTAGCTTTGCGTAACTATTACACAACATGTAAAATATATTTATAATACTTTTTAGGACGATAAGAAGTCGTTTTTTTACTAACCTAAGTCAAACATTCACGCTCCTAAACGATTGTTTATGATGAGAATGGAAAGTATTCAAGTCAACGAATAATAAGTATAAATTATTTATTCTGTTTTTTTTATTTATTCAGATTATATTACGACATGAAATCAATCAAACGTAAGTATAAATTATTGCTTCTATTGTTTTATTCAATAATTGAATGACATAATAAACTAAAATAAAGTACATTTTAGACGTTAATTGTCAACTAATTGTATGGGAATAAGGGAATTCGAAGGTCAAACAATGTCTAATGTTCAGATGTAAATTCAACATGATCTCCTTGAATCTCATGGAGATCGAACTTTAAGATTCTTCGTCATTGATAAATAAAAATAATAAAAAGTTCGTATGAACATCGTCAATTGTCTATCATACAATAAGTTTTTTCACTTCATAGACACTTTACTTTTAGAAAATTTTAATTATCAAAATCTAGCTCATGTTTTTGTTCTTTCGATTTATATAAATTCTAGTTCTTTTAAACAATTGTAGAAAAACAAAACCATAATTCAATTTAAAAGTTCGTCTACAAAATTTTGTTCAGTTATAGAATACCATAAGCGATATATGGTCAATTTTTTAGGTCAAGAAATAAAGTTTTAAATGGATACATATTGTTTCTCACATCCTACCAGATGAAAATATTTTTTACTGAAAAAAACACTGATGAATGAAATGATTGCTCCTTTAACTCTTCTCTTCTTGAGCAGAACCAAATGAAAGCTATGCTTAAGTATTAAAAAGATCAATGTACCGGCGATGATGAATTACTGTTTTAACGCCGATATTTGGTATTATTTTTCTTCTAAATAATGGTCTTGCTATTGGAGTGGGAGTAAGAGGTGGAATAGGTGATGAAGAATGTGGAGGTGATGACGGAGTTGGAATAGGAGTAGATGATGGAGTTGGAATAGGAGTAGATGACGGAGTTGGAATAGGAGTAGATGTAGATGATGAAACAATTGGAAGAGAAATAGGTGAAGATGGTTGTTGTTGTTGTTGTTGTTGTTGTGATACTTCAATTGTATCTTCAACATTTGATATTGACTCTGTAATAAAATAAAAATTCAATATTAGTATGGATTTATTTCAAATATTAAATTTATATTTGGAAAAATTTTTACAAACAAGAAAATTCTAAGAAATTTTTTAGTTTGAAAATTTCTTTTGTGTATGAATTTGTTTTTTTTATATTTAATTTTATTAAATTGAATAAAGTTATAATTTCATCAATTTATATTTTTGTACCTTGAATAACTTCTGATGCTACTACGGGAGGATCAATCTGTTGTGTAGATTGTTCTTCTTGTGATTCAATTGATATTGATTCAATTGATGTTTCCGGTGGTCGTACAATAGTACCAACTGGACGTGTTGCTTGTACATTAGGTTTAACATTAATACGAGGTCGACGAAAAGTCATGATTGATCTAAAAAATGAAACAAAATTTCTCAATATGTATTTTCTTTTGTAATCTAAGTTTGTGTATTTTTCTAACTTCTTTCAAATAAAATTCTGTATAATTTATCTTAAAAACATGGAAGTTATAATAATTATTCAAAATACTTTCATCATACAAATTGTGTTTTGTAAAATAACGAATTTTTTGCAATCAATTTTTTCATTGGTAAAATTTTTTTACCAATGAAATTATGGATTCCCAATATCAAAAAAATCGAATCAAGTTTCTCTGGTAACGAATTATTTACAAAATGATTATACAACGTCTTTTATGGGTTTATTGTCAAATTAGATTTGTACAATATTTACTTCAAGTTAGTTCAAATAAAAAAAAAACCAATGATATTATAATGTTTTATTCTACTTTTTATTTTCTAGTTTATTGCAAATACAATTATTCCAGATCATGATGCACATGTATTTGATCCACCTTTATGGTCTTTAAATAATGAAACAATTCTTGATATTTGCATTAATAAATTTTTCTCAGGTTTACGTCGTTGGGATGCAATACATTATCTTCATATAGCTCGATTTGGATATATATATGAAAATACTTTAGCATTTTTTCCAGGTTATCCATTATTATTTATTCGTCCATTAGGTTATATATTAAAAAATTTTTTAATTGAATCAAATGCTTATTTATTAAGTGGAATTTTAATAAATTTTTTTATTGGATTATTAAATACATATTTAATATTTAAATTAGGATTAAAATATAATTTAAAATTTCATCATGCATATTGGTCATCAATACTTTATATAATTAATCCAGCAACAATATTTTTTCTAGCACCATATACTGAAACATTATTTTTATTTAGTCAATTATTAGGACATATTTATTTAAAAGAAAATAAAATTTTTTATTCATATCTTTGTTTTTCATTTGGTTCAATAATACGTTCAAATGGTATTATATCATTTGGTTTTATTATATATTATTATTTAAAAAAATCTTATCAAAAAAAACAATTATGTTTTCCAATATATTATTTTATTTTATGTATTTTACCATTTATTTTAACACAATATTTTTTATATAAAGAATATTGTTATGAAAAAAATATATCTGATGAATTAAAAATTTATGGTTTTAATAATAATCTATCAATGCCATTAAAAAATTTTTCTTCTATATGGTGTTTAAAACAAATACCATTATCATATCAATATGTACAAAAAAAATATTGGAATGTTGGTTTTTTAAATTATTGGAGATGGAAACAAATACCAAATTTTTGTTTAGCTTTACCAATATATATTATAATTGGAAATTTTATTATAAATTGGTTTAAATTAATAAGAAAAGATTTATGGAAAAATAAATTTAAATATCTTTTTTTACAAGAAAATCAATCAAAAATAAATATTTGGTTTGAAAAAAATGATTTTGTTCCACATATAATTTATATATTATTTTTAAGTTTATTTACATTATTTTTTATGCATATACAAGTATCAACACGTTTTCTTTTTTCAAGTGGACCATTATTATATTTTATTTGTGCTGATAGAATCCAACCATATGATATTAATAATAGAAATCTTATAAAGCTTTTTTCTTTATTTCAAAAGGAAACATTTCTTTTTTATTATTATTTTATTTATGTTATTATTGGAATTAGTCTTTTTTCGAATTTTTTACCTTGGACATAGACAAGAAAATAAAAAAAGAAAGAAAAACGAAGTAGTAGTAGAAAAAAAAAAAGAAACGATATGTTATAATTTTAGATTAAATAAATAAAAATAATGAGTCGAAATATATCAAATGTTCGACGTAAAGATGATTTGGACGAATATTGGTTTGAAAAAATTGCTGTTACAACAAAGGTATTCATATTATTTTTATTTTCATAACATATGTGAAGATGATTTGTCTTTATTTTTTGTATTGAAATCTAATTTTGAAATTATTTGAAAAATATTGCTTTGTTTTTGGTTATATGTAGAGTATATAACTTTTTGTAAGATACAGATGTTCTTCATAGTTGTAAATGCAGCCATAAAACAGTCTTGAAAATGTTTTACTACAGCTAGTCGACTTTGTCCGATTATTTTTTTCTCTACTCGTGACAATAATTAGATGAAAGACAAATATATAAAATTTTCAGATCTAAATTTATTCAATAGCATAAGTGCTGGAATTATCTTAAATAGTATAGTTGAATTATAACACGAAGCAGTACTCATGTGAAATAACCTCAATGACATTTTGTAGAAAGAGATCTTCATTCCTATTTTCGATCTCTTAGAGATCCATTAATTAGGAAACATTGAAACTTTAAGACCAGACAGATGCTAGTGAGGAAAGTAAAATTTGCCATAAACTTGAAATTCCATGGTGCTTTCTTCAAGGTCATATGAAGGAAGAGAAAAATCGAATGATTCCAACAATGTCTCGCTTATCTGTCTTCAATTGTCTGAAGTGAAAATTGTATTGCACAAGCTAAAAATACATTTGTATGTCTACTTTTATGAGTTTTCTTTCATCTTCTTCTCTTCAAACAGAAAAGTCACGATTCGAAGAGTACCTAAAATCACAAATGTTCTTTTCAAATAGAGCTTTTCTTGTAAGGTATGTTAAAAATCAGCAGTTCAATAATCTAGTTCTTTTAGAAAAGGTTTTATTCTCAACAGATGTACTATGTGTGAAAAAACTTCGACAAAACGAAAGAAAATTTCTTATTTTCACATAGAAAATATTTTATTTTTTTACATTCTTTTTTAACTTTAAAGGTACTTTTCAATTCTTAAAACATGTTCAATAGAAAGAGGATACTTAGAAACGTATGTAGAGTAGAAGAAAATCAGAAACGAAAAAACTGGAAATTTCGGGTCAGGATAGCATATATCATGTTATGGCTATGAGCAAGTTTCGGTAAGATTAAGAAATTCTTTAAAGTATTTGGGCTCACGGACTAGGAATAAAGAATCATGACCACTTTATTGAAAATTTCAACGAAAACGAACATGTCTATCGCGAGACGTTGAATTTCGTTATAGGCAACAATTTACTATAGGAGGACACAATAATCGAGTCAACTAGGAAGTTGTATATCTCGAAAAAGATATGCTCGTTTTCGTTGAAACTTTCAAGACTATGAAAATCTCCCTATAGACAAAATCTTAAGTTAAAAACTCTTTACTTTGGGCTTTTCGGTAATGTCTTGCTCTCAGTAAAAGTTTCATTATAAAATGGCCATAGCTCTTCTTCAACAGGCTCTGGCCCTATATCCTTTTAAGCACTTCTTAACCTCACCATGGCTTATTCACAGCTGTAATATAAAATTGAGTGGCATCGGTCAGTTACATATGCTCTCTTACAAGTAAAAGCATACTTAAAGTACAAAGTACTCATGTTTAGTAAAAAGAAAATGTACTTGAACGATGAAAAATGTACTTGAACTATGAAAAATGTACTTGAACTATGAAAAATGTACTTGAACTATGAAAAATGTACTTTATGCTCAAGGTTTTTAAGTGTAAAGTACGAAAAAATATAAATATTCTGTCATTGAGTAGCGATTTTGACTAGAAATTATCATTTGAACGAAAAACAAAAAGAGAATTAAACTTAGGAAAGTCCTTTGTTCGAGTAATTCAGTACGAAGAAAAATAGGAATCACACCTCAATATATAAATATCACAAGAGGAAAAAAGCCGAAATTCATTGTGAGAAAATCGTTTCTAACAAGAATATAAGGGAATAAAAATTATAATCAGATTGGCAAAGATAGAAACTTCACAAAGCCAAAATCCTGGGTTTTTAGCACTTATCGCACGTAAATATAGTTTTGTCTAGATCTATACAGCACGATAGAATAAATAATCCTCTGCTAGGTTTGTTGATATACAGAAATTTGATTGAAGATCAAAATATTGAAAAAAAACAGCTTTGGAAACTTCCGTAAGATTGCTGTATCTCAGTCAAAAAAACGTCGTAGAGAACTCAGCGATGTCTCATTTTGTAGAGGATGGTCTACTCTATTGTTCAATCTAATCTAAACAAAACTTTATTTACCTGTTTTGGGTACTGAAAAACTAATCTTTTGGTTTTCTGAAGTTCCTGCCTTCGGAAATCTGATAGCAGATTTTACTTCTTTATATTCCTTTTGGAAACAATATTCTCTATTCGAATGCTTTGTAGTGCTTACGACAACGGGAAAAAAAATTGAAAATAAATCTTGTGAGAATAATTTTGACATCCACTGTTTATTAAATATAATCAGACAATCGGTTGATTTTTTTTCCAGCGAAATTTTCAGACATACTTTTTGACAAGATTGATTTATTCGAACAATTCGAAAATAAGAAAAAAAACATGTTGTTCTTAATTATTCATCCGGAGAGATAAAGTTTTTAAATTTAATTTTTAGATCAAAATAAAAAGAAAATCTATTGACAAAAAAAAACCTATCTTGTTCATTTAGACTGCTGAAGAAATTCGTGAACATACAATTCAAGAAGATCTACCACCTGTCGCCAGAACATTAACCATGCTTGAGTATAATTATTTCTTTATTTTCAATAGATTTAAGGCCTCACCCTCCCCCTAAAAAAAAGTCAATTTTCGTCAAAAATTTCGAAATTGAGATAAATGCATGGGAAGATACCCCGTCTTCAGATCTTTCAGAAACGACATTGGCTTTTCTTTGGTATCTCTTTTTTGGCCAAGATTTTCGATGATTTTCATTGATCTCTTCTTGAAAAATATTCTTATTTTTAAAAAAACGAAAAACGTTTTTCGTTTTTTCTCGGTTTATGATTTTTTGATTTTCGTTCCAAAATTTCTCGGTCCCGACCCTTTCAATATATTTAAATTTTTTTTTTTGTTTGAAAGAGCGCGTCGAGATGCAGGGCAATATAGAGTCCTTTTTTTAATTAAGCTTTATTTTTTATTATTTAGACAGACACTTATGTGACTGGACACCCATTTTTGATGCGTTTTTTGAGTCATTGAACTTGTGAGTCTCTTTCTCAGCGAAAAAAGTAAGAATTTTAAAAAAAGGGCTCTATACTCCCCTGCATCCTGAGATGCTCTTTCAAACAAAAAAAAATTTAAATATGTTGACAGAGCCCGGACCGAGAAATCTTGGAACGAAAATGAGCTATTTTTGATCCTTGTTTTGGTTCATATCTCTGTCAAACGTCGGGATATCGAGCTGAAAATTTTACCACAGACTCCTCACTTCAGTCCCAACATATGTTTCAAATTTCAGCCCATTTGAACGTTCCTAGGCTGAGATCGATTTTTGAGGGGAAGAGGGGAAGGCCTTAATTAATTTCATTGGTCTTGTTTTTTTCCATAAATAGTTCTCGATGTGATATTCAACGTGGTGTTGGTATTCGTTCTATTCCATCTGTAATTATTTCTGATCGAGATGAAACATTTCGTCGTATATTACCTATATTTAAAGTATATATGTATTTTTTTGTTTTTGGGATCAAAATTTTTATCTTTTTATTTTAATAAATATTATTATATTTAGTTAATTATTGAACAAACAGTTGATAGTGGAGAACATTCCGTAGCAGCAGAAACAATTGTTTCTCTAATACAACAACAATCATTATCTTATTCGGAATTTATGTCATTATTTTCACAAACGATTTGCACATTATTATTTCCGGCTACTACGAACCGTTTTTCATTAGGTTAGACCAAAAAAAGTGTGATGTTTTTTTTTAAGTTCTTTCTTTTTTGTTTTTTTTTTAAATAGATTTTGGTGATATATGGTGTCAAACATTATGCAATATAATTGATGCTTTTCCAAATACAACTTCATTTACTTCGGTTTGAGATTATTAATAAGAATTTTCCAAAAACAAAAAAAAACAAACTCATTTCTCTTATTTTTTTTTTCTAGTTACTTGATTTAATCTTTAATAATAGTTTACATGGTTCATATGTTCGAGATCGATTAGCAATAATTTTAGCTAAATTATCATGTCGATTGAATTCACAAATGTATGAAATAAAAAAAAAATTTCATATAATATAAGAAAAAAAAAAATTTTCTTTCCTAGCATTGAAAATCGTTTATTGCCTGTATTCAAAAATTTTATCAATGATACTAATGCTGATATTCGTGCACTTGCTTGTCAAAAATTACCAATTCTTGCTCAATCATTCGAGTAAGACATGAAATTATTTCTGAAAAACTAAACTATACACGATGAAATATAAACAAAACTATGATTTCATACTTGTTCCAGAGGCTGTACTCTTCCGTCGATTTTTATTTTCATTCAATAATTTTTTTGTTAGACTATGTGAAAGTATTAAGTAAAGCTCGCCGGATCTAGAATTTTTGGATCCACATCCGATCGAATCGTGTTTTAATAATGAATATTTTTATAAAGATCAATCAGTCATCTTATCCTATTGAAATGAAGATTATTGTAATATTGCCAAAACTAATTATACTGTCTCGCATGAATGATTAATTTTAATAGTAAATTATTAAGTCTAACTAAATAGTGTTCAAAATAATTAATTCACTCGCATTAAATTTCTTCAACTTTGGATCCGCATGTGATGAGATCCAACCGAAATTTTAATTTAATATAAACTAATCTTATTCAAAAAAAAATATTTAAATTGAAGAGAAAAAGCAGACTTTCAAGGAGTTTAAAAGATTTCTCAGACTTAATCGAATTTCGAGAAATCTTACAAATAAATTCATGGAACATTTTCCTATAGAAATAAATAACTTCATTAAAAAGTATTCAGGTACTAACTATGATATTTTTTCAGTTCAAATGACCTGCACCTATTTTTGCTGGCATATTGACAAAACGATGAAATTAACCGATCTTGACACAAAATATTCTCTCATTTAAAATAGCTGATTAGAGCCAGCAGAAATTAGTTAGAATCGAAATTTTTCTCTCTATTCAGATATGTACTCAGGATTTCTTTCTGGGGTAAAATCAGTAGTGTCAAACTTGAAACTTGAATTCAAGTATTCAAGTTTGACATGTATGGTTTATCTAAGACGATAACAAAATGATCTCATGCTCTTTTGGCATTTACTTTTACTCGAATGTATTGAAAAAATATGCATTATAAATGATTACATTAGTTTCACGTGATAGTTAAGCTCATAATGTATATATATACGTCGTCTGTCACCAAAGGATTAAGAAACTCAAATTCTATAAGCTTATCTTGAAAGGGCTTAACAGTATTAGAATCATTTAGTTGTTTTTGCTTGAATTAAACGGATTTCAAAAATTTCAGCAGACTTCATCACACTACGAGATCTAAGTTTCTGTTGGTTTGACCTTCAATTTAAGCATAAATATCACATTGCGTATTCTCTAGTTTGAAGAAACAAACGATATTATTGTATATCGAACAGCTAGATCGTATTTCACATTTATTGTGCTAACACAACTATTTTTGTTTTGAATTTTTATTTAATATTTAGTTATAGTCAAATATTAAATTTGATATTACCATTACTTGTTATATTATCTAAAGATGATAATTTAACTGTACGTCAAACATGTTTTGAATCCTTACTTGATCTTAGTAATAATTTCGATGATTCGAGATCCATTGAGCAAATTAGTGAAATGATTATTTCACTTATCAAATTTGGTTTATCATCAAGAACATCGAAATTTGTTACAACAATTGCATTACGTCTTTCTGATTTATGTCATGCATTGATTAGTAAGAAAAAAACAACATTCAAAAAAAAAAAAAAAAAAATCTAAACTATTTTCTATTATTTAAAGTTTTTCAAATTGATGAATATAAATTCATTTATGAAGTTTTTTTACGATTAAGTCAAGAAAAAGTAAGAGCAAAAATACTAAACAAAAGCATATTTATATATTGAATTTTTGTTTTTGTAGAATTTTCCAGAGTGTCGATTAGCTTGTGCAAAACATTTTTCGGTAGAAAATATTTCTAAATCATTTAAAAAAAAAAAAAACATTATTTTGCTCATTTAATAGTCAATTATTGATTATCTTGGTCATGATGAGTTAACAAATGAATTAGAAAAATTATTTTTTGATTTATGTCATGATAATGATACAAAAATTTGTTCAATTATGCCATCAACAATAATTAATGTAAGTAGAATTAAATAAGGACAAAAAAAAAAAATGAAAACATTAGTTTTTAAAATTTTTTTTTTTGCAATATTGTCTCGATAGGATTTCTTTTTAGCTTACAAAATTATATAATAATAATAATAATAAAGAAGAGAAATATATGTCAATAATATGGAATGGTTTTTTATTGTTATTAAATAATTCACATTTTGATGTTATGCTTTCATTAGCAAGAAATTTATTAAATATTTTTATTGCATTTTCAAGAGATGAAAATGAAGGTTTTTTACATGGATCAATTTGTTCAATACCAACAGTAAGAAAAAAATAAGATAAAATAATCGATCATTGTCTTAGGATTTCATAAATAATTTTCAATAAAAAATTAAATTTTGTAATTAATCTTAAAATGTAAGGTGGAAGTAAAAAGTATTTATTGACTTTTTTCCTTAATGATAATAATTAGAACAAATCAGAGAAAAGATTTTACTGGTGAAAACAATTGTCTATGTTAATGGATGATACAAAAATTTTTGCATTAACAGACAAAAATAAGATTTTCAATTTTATCAATTGTGTTAGAAATCAACATTTTTCTAACGAGCTTAGCTAGTGAAAAATGTTCACAATTAATAAGTGTTTTCGACAAATAAGATTTTTTTCAACAATCAAAAGTTAGTGAAATTTCATATTCTATGTCCAATTAGCGCTGAGTAAACTCTCTACAAAAGCAAATTTTTATTGAAAGTTGTTTCCTATAAAATCTATGGTTTTGTAACTCGAATATTTTGATACTACTAGAAAAGAGTCACGTCGCGTTCGTTATAGTCACACATAACGTACCTAAAAATTTTGAAAGCCAAGTACAAAACAAATCAATCAAATGTACTTCTCATCATTGACTTTGTGTGGAATCGTAAGATACTTTTCCAGCCTTCGATAAGTATTTTGAACTACATACTTCTTTTTACAGTTTTGTAGTAGAGACTCTTCTCTTTCTAACAAGAAAACTATCATATGTATTGAAATATACTAAAAAATCATAGAAAAGAAAATTTTTTCTGAACATAACTTTATTGTTTTGAAAAAAAGAAAGGACCTTGTTTAAAGAGATATCAATTATTTAGAAAATAATTACAAATTTTATGAATACTAGTAGTCAATACTTGCTCGTATTTAAAATTCTATTCGAACTAAATCATCTACCATTCTATGTCAATTGTTATTTTTAAAAAAAATCCGTGTGACTAAAAACGCCTCCAAAAAAAAATAGTATGTGCATTAAACATTGCGATAAATCAATTCTCTTTTCCTTTTTCTTCGTTTTGTTTTTTTATTGACTCACAATATCTATAAAAGTTAAAGTAAACACCTAAAAGCTAGGAGATTATTTAAGCTTTTCTTGATTTGAATAGTATATGTTTTACGAATACAATGTAATCCTTGATCAAGCTGATCTATTGAACAGTAGTATTCTATCATCAGAAATAGAAATAATAGATCTTTGAATTTATAAAGCAAAATTATTTCAGCATATTGAAACCAAAGCAATAATAGAGTTTATTTTTAAGTAAAGTAACTCCTGTTTGAAATTAATCTTCTTGTCTTTTTTGAATATCAATCATATTCGAATTGAATTTTGTATGTTAAAAATAAATAGCATTAATATAAATAGATTTCAAAACAAATATCCTAATCCGATTGGAAAGTTCTAAATTTTCTTGACATATTTAAGATTTTTCGTAGAATTAATATTGTTTATAAGAAACTGAAAACTAAATAATCTAACATAATCCAAAAACAAATATACATCAAATACGAAGATTATCATTGTTGATATAGAATGCAGCTTAATTAAATTTTCTCTCTCTGTTATTCTTGTTGAACACTATTGCATGTTGTTTTTCTTTTTATTCGATAATCAGTATTTAGCGAGAACAAAACAAATTTTACTACATCGCATGATATGTTAATCATAAATAATAAATCAATTTCTGTATGTTTGAAATACATCACAAAAAAAAAGGCGACGTACTCTTTTTTTTCTAAATATAATGTACCATAAGAGGTAATAGTGTTTTTGTTTCTTCTTTATTTTTCTATGTGTGAATACAATCATTGTCTGAGTATTTATTTAGATACAAAGGTTAATACAACAGAGCTTTTAATTATTCAGATGTTCATAGATAAATAAATAAATCAGAGACAAAAAACATAGTTTTCTCTTACGAGCAAATTTTAGCAAAAAAGAAACTATCTTCTCTTGTTTTTTATCATGTATTTTAAGTCCTTTGAGCTTGACTTGTTATTTATGATTAATATGTCATGCAATGTAGTAAAATCTATATTTTCTCGTTATGTATTGATTATCGAGAAAAACATGCAATATTCTTAAAGAAGAATAATAGAGAAAAGAAAAACCAATTGTGTCCCAATAATAATAGTCGTTATTTACAAAAATTCTTCAATAAAATTTAATAGATTGCTGATTCAGAAACATTTATAAATCAACTATTAGAATATGAACGACGAATATTTGAAAATACACTATCATGGCGTTCATGTATATTATGTCTTCAAGCATTTGTTCATTTATCATATTTATTATCAAGTGAACAAATTCAAACAAAAATTTTACCACGTATTTTGTCGCGTATATATAGTGTAAGCAAAAAAAAAACAAATAAGTTTCTTAATTATTATTTGTTATTTTACACCTATGATATTTTTTTGTTTTTTTTTAGAAACAAGTTTGTGTACGTGAAATAGCTGTTGATAGTTATGTTCAATTATTAAGAAAAATTCCACGACGATCAATAAGACGAGGTGCATTTCAAAAATTAAAAACTGATCTTTTATTTAATAAATCTTATCAATGGCGTATTATGTATATAAGAGTATGTCGACAAATACTTGTTCATTATTCAAAACGATTTTTTAAAGAAAATTTTCTTGATACAATTCTTTCAATTGAATATGATCCTGTTTTAAGTGTAAGTTTATAGAAAAAAAACGACTCTTAGTATATCGAAAATGAATTCAATTTCGAGTTTAACATTATTATTTTTTTAATGTTTTATTCTAGGTTCGAATTCAATTAGTTCCATTACTTATTGAAATAAAATCTATTCTTCGTTTGCCAGCTGATAGTCAATCAATATTAAAAATAGAAACAATGATGGAATATTTTCTTGCTGATAAAACATTAACATTACATGATCTTGCAAATAATGGTCTTTTACAATTAGATCAAATACGTTCATATAATATATTACCAGTATTTTCAAATCATTCATCTGATGATAATAATGATAAAAAAAAAGAAAATGAAGAATATTCACTTGATGAAATTGATATATCATCACGTCGTTCATTAAGTAAATCAAATGATCAATATACAATATCAAAACGTCTTACAGATACATCAATATCAAATAAACAAACAACACCATTACGAAGTGCAAGATTATTAAAAACATCATTGGATATTCCTCAACGAAAATCATCCTTACCTGCAGATACAAATAATGAAATGAAAGATAATAAAATTTCTTTAATAAAACAACGACGTCGACAAACTTTTACTGATAATACAATGTCAACAACATCGTCACGTTTGTCCAATCAAACACCAACAAAGAAAAATTCCAAATGTAAGAATATTTGAAAAGATTCTTTATCATTATTTTGACACCCTATTATTTTTTTTTTATCACCTTAGGAAATAGAAGAAAAATTAACCTATTTAGTGCAATAAAACCATGAATGATCATTAGAATTACTACACGGAATATGAGCAAAAGGAAAAACTTGTACTTGAAATGTTCTTTTTTTTTCTCTAATTATTATCTATTGTATATGAAAATTGTAATAGCAATAATAATGACTTCAAAAAACAGACAGTTGTGAAAATTGAAAACGAAATTTATTAAATCTAATATGCCGGGGATTTTGTTTTTGTTCTTTTTTTTTAATTTTTTTGTATTTAATTTTTTTTTTTTGTGTTTCACAGTAGTTGTGAGATATATATACGTGAGAAAAGAATGTGACTATCGTTTTATGTATGACTCTATTGTTTTATTCTTTATGAGCAATGCCTTTCTAACCTGCGTGACTGTGTTTTCTTTTATTCTTTTTTTTTTGGTAAAATGCGTCGTTGGATTGCATGATCACCAGTTTTCTCCGTGATTATTATCGTTGACACCATTTTTTACTTTTTTTTTAAATATTGCTCATAGCAATTAAGAAAAGAATAAGTGAACATGTATACATATCTATATATGATCGAATAAAATTGATTGACGTCAAAAAAGATATAAATATACTTCTCTTACATTTAAAGGAAGATCAAAATAATGATAAAAATGATGATTTTACAGGTAAGGCCATGTGAGACATACGATGATTTGTACAGAGACATCAAAAAAAAAATCATCATTGCAGGTTACTCTTAACTGATGAATATTCAATAAAAAAAAAAATACTGGACAGTTTTTGAGTATAAAAAGAAAAGAGAAAGACCTTACAAGGCAATTTTTATTCTATGTTATAATTCAAATATGGATTCTGGACATGGTTTAAATGTATATTTAAGTCCAAAGCCGTATGGTAAGTATTTCTGTTTATGATATATTGAATCTAATTTATAAATGTATGAGTGAAGACAAAAAGAGAAAAATTATTTTAAAACTGGACACGAAAAGATTTATTTATTCTGAGAAAAAAGTCAATAGATTCGATCAATAGCATAAAATTGTTAGGTTTCTTTTTTTGACAACTACGTACTTAAAAAACAAATCGATTTTTTTGAATAAGAAATAGCAAACGAACAAATATAATTGACAAACTACTATCAATTTACATGTCCTTCAAAAGATGAATTTTACGTTGTCATGGAAATTATTCAAATTATCGAATTCTAATCGTTTTTTTTTTCAAACTACTATATCAATATTTACAGGCAAAATATTTGATGTATATTTTAGGTTATTTGGTTTCTTTCGCTTATGAGTTTTTGAGTGATTTTACTTTTTAATCGATCTATTTGACTATGCATTTTTTTTTCTATAAGAACGATTCTGATCATATGTATATATATATACACATACTTAAATAGTGAAGGATATATATAGATGCATACTTAAATAGTCAAGTATTAACAAAAAGAAGTGATGTTATACTCGTAGGCCTATTAAGAAATTTTTAGTACAAAAAATAATATAATTTGTATCATTTTGTGACAGGTGAGAAGCAACGCGATGCTTATCATGATAGTCTCATTAGGATTGATTAATCGATAATGTATATTAGTCAGTGTCCTTGAAAAGGTGTTTTACTTATGATTTTTTTTTCCTTCCAATATATATATATATACACATTACTCTGATAATTGTATATAATAAAGAAATTCTATGAAAAGAATTTGCAAAGAAATATTTATTTATCGAAAAGTTGGTCTTTTATATAAATATATGTCAATATCTTAGCTGAGATTTCGTCCAATCTTGTATTGGACGAAGAAAATATATTAGAACGTAAATTAATATATAGAGAGATCAATGATAACATAAAAGTTTAATTAATAAATTAATATTATTTCAAGTAATACAATCATTTAATAATTTAAATAACAAAATAGACAATTTTCTATTAAAATAATTCATATTATTATTCTATGATAATTTAATTAATTAAAATCTAAAATTAACATTGATCTATAGATAAATTCAAATATATAATATAAATTCACTAACAAATCTACAATATTTTTTAAACGTAATCTTAGTTTGGATGTTGACATATAAATATGAATCGATGTGGTTAAGTTAAAAACATTTACCAAGAAAGTAAATGCTTATTCGATAAAGAAAATGTCGATAATAATTTGAATTCAATGTCAAAGACAAAAGCAAACTTTCAACAATAAAAAATAAGAAAAGCGCATCCTAAAGAAAAAGGACGCCTATTAACGCCTTGATATTATAACACATACGACCAAGATTTCTTTTTTACCTATATATACATAAAGCGGAAGATTATTTTTTATTTTCATTGGATAGAACTAAAAAGTACGAGAAATCATTCATACAGACTCTTAGCTCCTTCTTTTGATCAAATAAAAAACAAATTTGCATATATATATATATATACATATATACATAATGGAGTAAGTATGTTATATTCATCATATTTCTTTTTATAGAAATACATACGACAGGTAAATTTGCATTTTATCGGGTGCTGTTAAAGATCACTAAATCATTTTTATGAACAAAAAAAAAATTGATTAGAAGTAGATAAATATAAGAAATATAGCAGCAGATTGTTGATTGCTTTTCAAAAATTGAGCATCAACGATAACAGGCGTAGAGGTATGTGATGTATCGAGAAATTCAATTATTAATTAATTAGTTTTTGTCTAAAAATATTTCAAATAATTTCCTTTTTTCTATAGACGGGGCAAATCGACGGCATTCGGACACGGACACAGTGATGCAACAAATTCACCATCCCCGCACGATAGAGGTAAGGTAAGTTTCTAACTGAAAAAAAAAACTAACCCATCAAATTCTGTTCTTAACTTGTTTGTATTCCATCGTCTATATACGAAAATAAAAGAAAAACAATAGATTTTGAAAAAAACAAAAAATAAAAAACTAGATTATTTATCTTCAAGGATAAGATGGGTGTGTAATTTTGCATACTCTCATCTCCCCCTCCCGTCCCTTCCATATGTTCTAAAACAATAAAAGAAAACTACGAGTTTAGTCAAGGACATAATAAATAATAAAGTCAGCTGCTTTTTTTATTCCATCGTTTGATTCTCATACCGAATGTTACCGCCGGTGGCAGCAAAAAGACATAGTATATTTCTTGGCCCTCAGGTATTAAACAAAAATAATATAATAGATAATCACAATTGAAAAACCAAGAAGGAAATACAAGACATAAAATGTACAATTTCCTCTATTTGATTTATTTTATAGCCTACTCGACATACATTCAATTTGGGCTTTGCTGAAAATGATGTACCACAATTATTTTGTCAATTGGATGTACTTCGTCGATCAGAAGAAGGAGTTGAATATGCTTATTGGAAAGAGAAAGCACGGTATTTAGAAAAAAAAAAAAGAGAAAACAATTAATTTTTTTTTGTATTTGAATTATTTATTTATGTATTTTTTTGTTCATTTTAAGTTGGGTACGTTTTGAAGAAATAGCAGAAAATGTTCTTGGTCGTTGGTCAAAACCTCATGTAGCAACATTGATGCAAACAGCTTTATCAGATTTAAAAAGTTTAGTAAATAATGGAATTATTCTTCTTAATGTTCAAGGAACTGATTTAACAGCAATTTCACGTATAATTTTTAAAAAAATGTGTTTTTTTGTTTCTTAAATGAAAAAAAAATTATGTTTTTTTTTTAGAAACAATTGGTCAAGCACTTATTGATTCGAATTATATTGATGATGTAGATAAAGCTCAAAAAATTGTTTGGATTCTTGGTTTACCACATTTTCATCATCATGAAAAACGTTCTGTTATGAAAACTGCAAGTTCAGTTAGTTTAAGTAAACAAGGTCTTCATCAAAGTCCAAGTTTTATTATTAATCATCTTTCACGACGAGGTTTATATAAAATGATTTCTTCAATTTATGTATTTTGTTTATTTATTTAAATAGATGATGAAGTTGATAATGCACAAGATATGTCAGCACTACATTTAATTAGTAAACCATCAACTCAAGATATGTTATTAGCCGAACATAGTGAAACAAATGGTACGCCAGAACGATCGGCCAAGGTAAAGTAAAAATAATGAATTTTAAAATCTTAATTTTTTCATATAGAATATTAGTTAAGACATACGAAAAATTGTTGTAAATCTCAGAGGAAAAGAATTAAATCAATTTATTGTTTTAGATAATCTTTGATTAAAATATTCAATTACTATCATTTCATATATTCACTATTTTTCTTTAGTCACTTATGTTCAACAAATTTTCATTGATTGTATTAGTTGTTAATCACTGTATTGAGTACTGTAACCAATATGATGAATTTTTTTAATTAAAGATTATTTGAAACAAAAACTTAATTAACACTATCTGATGCGCTTTTATCTACCAGAAGCACTACTATTGATATACCCACGTGAGGGAATCTATCCAGCTGCCTTCTTTCGATTTCAAGGATTGTTTTTTTTGTCTATAGATACTACATAGTGTTTTAATAAAAATCTTAAAAGGAATTCGTTGAGAGAGATATGAGATTATTAAGGCATAGGCCCTTTTCAATGAAGAGTGTATAGTGACGGACAAAAATTTAGAGTGGCTGCATGGTGAAGTTTTCTTCTTGATGGTAATAGTTAGTAAGAATCTGAAAGAAGTGTTTGTATAGCTGAAAGAATTCTTTATCAGGATTGATAGGCTCGAAAATTTCAGCAGAACTGTTTGGATGAGAGTCTGCAGAAAACCAAGACTCTCAAAACCAGCTTTCTGGCTTTCATTCGAAGCTTTTTGAAAAAGATTTTATTCGATAGAGCAAGATGAGGTGTCTTCGACTTCCCATGGCCTTTCTTTATCGAACCGCATTCAATTTACAGAAAGCCTCAAAGTGTCAGACATAGCAAACACATTGAAATTTTCAATAAAAGGACGAGAAAAATACTTCGTTAATCTTCTGTAAATTGAATGCGATTCGATGAATAAAAGTCATGAAGAGATCGAAGATATCTCATTTTGCTCTATCAAATAAAACCTTTTCCAAAAGGCTTCGAATAAAAGTCAGAAAGCTGGTTTGAGGAATCTTGACTTTTCGCAAACCCTTGTTTAATCCTTTGAGTACAGGATTATTTTTGTATAATAAAACTTTTTATAATTTCAAATTAACATTTATTTTGCAAAAAATATCACAAAGTACATGAATTAAAATGCTTGTAGAGTGTGATAGTCTTTAAAACAATCCATAAGACACAATCCTACATCACTTTCAATGCATTCATACGAAGTATCTCTTCTTAATCTGGCTCTTCTCACAGTATTAGCACAAACGTAACATTTTCTTCGTGGATTTAGTTGAGTCGCTGTTGATTCAATGCACGAAGGAAAATGTTATCAAATATGATCAATTGATCAGAACCTTTACTATAGATAATACTCTTGAATGACTGCATTAATATGAAAAAACCTGTTGATAACGATTATTCTTTCTTGGGAAATGTTGTCTAAATGACTTATGTTCTAATTCATTGAATCACATAGTGGTCGATAGAAATATTAGGGAACAACCAATATTCATCACTAGGTACAGATAGTCTTAACCGTACAAATATCCTCAACGCAAATATTCATGTAATTCATATCATAAAATAATCAAACGATCATGTTTTCTAAAGTTTTTCAAACCCTAAACTATCAGAGCGCGAATTCGCGTCGCCGGTATTCAAAGGGTTAAGCAGTTTTGTTGCAGTCTTCGAACCTACCAATCTTAAGAGAGAATCCTTTTCTTTACACAAATATTTTTTCAGATTCTGGTTAGCTATTATCGTTGAGAAGAAAAACTTCAAAATACAGCTGCTCTAAACTTTTGTTCGTCATTATATACAACATGCATTTTTTTCGAAAGTCTTATATCTCGAAAAGACTTCATTCAACACTTCTGATTTTCTTTTTATGAAACTTAGTCTAGTTGAATTTTTCGACAATCTTTAGCTCCAGATAAATATACAAATTAAAAATGCAATAGCTTGGTCAAATCTCAATAGGAAGTGAGATGTTTTTAGAGTTTTTATAAGAACATTATGCAGTATCTAAATGCAAAAATTATTGAAATCATTCATCAATAGTTAAAATTCAATAAAAATCTTATTAAAAATTTTTTGATTAAAAAATATAAGAATAAAAAAATGATATTTACACTAATCTATTAAATGCATGAAATAATAAGAAAAAATAAATTATGAGATACGAACAGATCTTTTTTATTTAAATATACTTCATCATTTAGGATTATAATGTAAAATTACAACGAAAATTAAGTCGTAAAACTGAAGGTGCATCTATATTAATATGTCCAGTTGATTTTGTTCGTGAATCAGCAATTGTATTTGTACGTCTTGAAAATGCTATTGAATTATTAGGAATGCTTGAAATAAAACTTTATTCACGTTTCGTTGTTCTTTTAATTGGACCTGAAGAAAATGAAAAACAATTATTACAAGTTGGACGAACAGTGGCAACAATATTAACTGATGATATATGTAGAGAATTTGCTTATACATCAAAAGATTCTCAAGGTATTTTGGATATGATGGATAGATTTATGCAAGATACATATGTTCTTCCACCATCGGAATGGGATCCAACAATTCGTATTGAACCACCATCACAATATATGAGCAAAGTAAGTTTATATAGGAAAGATATTTTTTTTGTTTTAATTTTTATTTTTAGGAACAACGACAAGCTCAAGTACCAACAGAAACAGTAGGACAAGTTGAGGAGATTGATTTAACTCCTCATACAGATCCAAATTTAAAAGCATCAAAAAGGTAAAAAATAAAATAAAAAAATTTTCCTATTGAATTATTATAATTGTTCTAGACCATTTCATGGTCTTTTCGTCGATATTAAAAATAAAATACCATTTTATATATCTGATTTTACTGATTGTGCTAGTTTACAATGTATAGCAGCTACACTTTATTTATATCTTGTTTGTCTTTGTTCAGTTGTTGCTTTTGGTGGTATGCTTGGAACAGCAACAGAAAATTATATGGTAAAATATTCTTATCTTTCATTAAAAAAAAATCTCTTTATATGATGAACTTATTTATTAGAGAAAATAACTTAAAATACTTGAAAAATATTCATTCATTTTGTAGATTCTATCAAAAGATGTTTTGCAAACAAGTTTATCTTATAGAGGAAAACATTTCTAAATGAAATAACATGTCCTCAAGATCTTTTCAACGAGCAACACTTATTGTATGATAAGTATACAAATCTGTTGTCTGTTGTTTTTATAAAAATCTATATGAATTTCCTGTTTTTTTCATACTTTGAGGACTTTTGTATAATGAGTGTAGGTTAAACATCAGAAATGTGTTTTTGTCTCTATCAATTGAACTTGTTGACAAGATGTTTTTTTAATAGAATCCAGGAAATTTATTTTTGTGGTTTTACTGAAAGTTCTTTGACACAAGTCTGTTAATGGAAGTTTGATAAATACATCTCCTGATAGAATCAATTTTACTTCGAAATCTACTTCTTTTGTTGTGCTACTATATGATAAAAGTTTATTAGAAAATGAGATAAATTTCGTATCAATTGAATTTTTTCGTTTGTTAAATAATATTATCGAATATGATTGTTAAAGATACTCAACTTCAATATTCTATTTTATTTATCTTAGGCTACAATGGAATGTATTCTTTCAGCTTCAATCAGTGGTATTCTATATGCTTTATTTTCTGGTCAACCATTAAATATTCTTTCGGCAACTGGTCCTATGTTAATTTTAGAACGTATATTAAAACATATGTGCGGGTATGTTTAATAATTATTTATTTTATTTTTATAACTTAATTATAAAATATCGTTTTTATTTTTTATTATAGAGATTATCATCTTGATTTTCTTGAATTTCGTTTATGGATTGGTGTTTGGGTATTTGTACTTTTATTTATATTTGTTGTATTTAATTTAAGTTTTCTTGTTAAATATATAACACGTTTTACTGAAGATTGTTTTGCATCATTAGTTGCAACAATATTTATTTATGATGCTATACGTGAAATTTTAAACATTCGTAAAACATATCCAATTAATTATGAACGAAATAGTATATTTAATTATACATGTTCATGTGTAAATATAACTTCAATTCATAATAAAACAATAGTTCATGATACACATATGATAAATTATTTATTAAGTACAACAAATTTAAATCAAACATTTCAAAATGCATGTATAAACGTAGGTGGTTCTATAATTGGTCCAAAATGTTCACCACCTGTTTATTATGCTGATATATTCTTTTATTCTTTAATTTTATTTATGATTACATTTTCTATTTGTATGGGTTTACAAGAATTTCGTCATAGTAAATTTTTTCCATCAAAAGTAAAATAACAACATTTATATATATATATATATATATGAAATATTCTTTCTCTTATTAATAATTTAGATTCGAACTATTCTTGGAGATTTTTCTGTATTAATTGCTATAGTATTAATGTCAGGATGGGATTCATATTTACATTTAAATACACCAAAATTAAAAGTACCAAATGAATTAAAACCAACATTACCACATGAACGTGGATGGTTAATACCATTTTTTGGTAAAAATCCTATATGGTCAATACCAATAGCAATTATTCCAGCATTAATAGCAACAATACTTATATTTATGGATCAACAAATAACAGCTGTTATTATAAATCGAAAAGAATTTAAATTAAAAGTAAATTAAAAACAAAAAAAAAAAAATGTTTTTTTTTCGTTGATTTATATAATTTGACATTTTTTTTTTTCTTGTTTCTCATTAGAAAAAACTTGGTTATCATCTTGATTTATTTGTTTTATCTCTTACAGTATTATTGCAATCATTACTTGGTTTACCATGGTTTGTAGCAGCTACAGTTTTAGCATTAACACATGTTAATGCATTAAAAATTATGAGTGAAAATACAGCACCAGGAGAAAAACCAAAATTTGAAGGCATTATGTAAGAAAGATCTTTTTTATTTACAACAAAAAAAATTTTATCTTTTTGCTTTTTAGTGAACAACGTGTTAGTGCACTTTTAATGGCTATTTTAACTGGTCTAAGTGTATTCTTCACTAATGTTTTATCTGTATGTATTTAAAAAGTTATTGATTGTTAATGAACAAAAAAAAAAAAAAAAACAAATCAGTAGAACACTTGACGTTACAACTCTTTTTTTTAGAAACATCTTCCCGATCTCTGAACACAGACGGTTAGTTTAAAGAGATCTCTTTCGCTTCATAGGTTAAGTTTCATATATACAATAAATACAATGATGGATAGTCAGCATGTTATACCATACAGTGAAATCATAATAGCAATCATTGTAAAAAGAAAAAAAAAGCAAAAGGTTTACAATTAGAAATTCAATGATCATAATAATAAATACTAATTATTAAGCATGTATTTTTTAAGCATGATTCGCAGCATCTATTTGCATGACTAAAGATCTTGTTTTTTTTTTTACTATGCAGACATCTTCATGATAAGAGGATTAGTGACACTCAAAGAATACTTATTTACATATAGTTATAATAGATTCATTATTATAGATCTAACGTTTGTCAAGCAAAAAGGAAGAACTTCGAAATTATGTTAGTTTCATCAAATATTTTTTTTTTCGATCTTAACGATAATAATAATTGAGATTATATTCGTATTTATCTTATGACATTGAAAGAGATAAAATGAATGTTTTGTTGTTCAAATAAAATAATATGTTATCATATTTTATTCAGCATAGGAATCGAAGGATAACATTCCATTATTGTATTACAAATAAACAATAGGTGTTTGCCGTTCCGAAGTTTTAAATTATCCTTCCGGAAGAGAAAATCTTGATAGAACAAAAAAAGTCCATTGATTTATATCTAACAAGAATCTGACTAATGACTAAAAAAACAAAAATTATTTCTAATTTTGATTAAACAAATCTGGTTTTGTTTTTTTCCATTTCAGCATATCCCAATGCCTGTTCTTTATGCTGTTTTCATGTTTATGGGTGTATCAGCTCTACGAAATATGCAAGTATGTAAATTTGAAATATTTTATTTATTTATTTATTTATTTATTTCATTAATATTTTCAAAGATTTTTGATCGAGTTTTATTAATGTTTATGCCACAAAAACATCAACCTGATTATCCATATTTACGTCATGTACGTATAACACGTGTTCATTTATTTACGGCTATACAAGTTGTTTCACTTGCTGGTATGTTTGCTATAAAAAGTGTTAAATCAATCGCAATTGGTTTTCCAGTATTGGTAAATTTGAATTAATTAATTAATTAAAAAAATCTTATTTTTTGTTTTTCTTCTAAGGTACTTGCAACATGTTTTGTACGTAAATTAATGGATAAAATATTTACACAAGAAGAACTTTTTTGGCTTGATGATATATTACCTGGTACTAAACTTGGTCGTGTTCGTCGTACATCAGCTGCTCGTCATGTTCATATGGAAAAAAAAAATAATGATGATGATAATAATGAAACAATAACAGTAAATAGATTTTTATTTTTATCAACAAAAAAAAAAAAAAAAAACTAAACAAACAAAAAAAAAATATCATTTTCAGCCACCAATTGTTAAATTTGACGTTGATATTAATCGAGATATAACAGGAAATAATCTACGAAGCATTGCAGAGGTCGGTTTTATTTTTATGATTTGAATGATGAACTAGAATATTTGATTTATTATGGCTTAAAAATTAATTATGCATGATATATTGTGATTATTTTTTTTCCTTTCATCTAGATTATAAAAGATACATCAATGAAACAAGATTATATCAATGATGGTCATATGCCAACTAGTGATTCTGATCAATCACATGCTCCATTGATTGTTGTCACAGAAGCATTACCATCAGAGGAATTAGAAGAAGAAGAAAAAACTGTAAAGGCATATATTATATTTCTTCGTTTTTCCTTTTTTTTTTTTGTTTTGAATTTTTAAACCAAAAACTGAAACTATGATGCTCTTTTTATAAAGATGGGATAAAAAAAAAAAAAACCACACATAAACTTTGGTGATAGTAATATTTAATTCATTTAACCTATGCACATTATTGCTTGTAGGTCACATCACCAGAAATCAATAAGAATAAAAATAATCAATCACAAAAATCTTCGCATATACCAACGGTGACATTTGTTGCTGGTCATCCTGAAGATGATTGAATATTGCTTGTAATATATATATATATTTATAATTTCGTGCTAATTCTGCTTCTTCTTTTGCTTAATATTTCTTATCTATTGTAATATAGAAAAGCAAACAATGATTTCGATATTTTCTTTTTTTTTTTTAGGAAGAAGCTGAACATTTAATTCATCGTGAATTACCACCAGAACAATATCATAATTCTAATGGTAATATGAAACATAAAATTAGTTCCACATCGGTATAACATAAAAAAGAAAAAAAACTAAAATATTTCTTTATTCTTTTTGATTTTCTAAGCTTGGTTTAAAAAAAAAAAAACTTGTTTTTTCTTTCCTCTTGATTGAATTAGTGAATGCATGCAAAAAAATTTCATTTTTCTTTCTTTTTTCTTCTGGTCTTGATTATATTCATTATGTCGTCTTTTTCTTGTCACAACGAAAATCTTTTCTTTTGTTTTATTTAAAGTAAAAAAAAAAAAACAAAAGCAACTTTTTTTCTTTTTTGTATTAGATAGAAAATAAATGATAATTCTCTTTTTTTTTTTTTTTTTTTTATTATACTTGATTTAGATTTTGTATAAATGAAAAAAAAATAATTACAAAAGCATTTCCGATATTTACTTTAAATGAATAGAATATTAAATAATTTTATCATCTTTACAATATACATGATGATGTACTACGCAGATGTCTAGACATTTTGTAATTAGAAAAAAAGCGACAGTAACATATTTGCTTCAATAAATCAAACAAAAAAAAAAAAAAAATGTCTTTTTTTGACTTGAATAAAAACAGTATAGAATCAGTAATAAAAAGAAAAGTAATAATAGATTCTTTCAACTTATGGGTACATTATCCTAAGGCGTAGATAAGAACTGGAAATATTATTGTACGGAAAAATTTTTCCTATGAGCAAAATAAAAACTCAAGGGCATAACTTATTATAATATTATATGGATATAATCATTCGTCTCCTGTAATTATCTAGGCAATATATATATAAATTATATATATTGAAGTTAAAATTTATTTTTACAGGAAGTCAAGTGCAACGAATCTAATATTTCATTAGTGAAATAAACTTGAAAATAAAATTTAAATAAACAAAATTAATACATTAAAATCATTAATGATAATTTTACTGAATGAACTTATTAAGTTCTTTTGAAAAGCACAACAAAAAAAAAAATATGTATATTAATTATGATACGTCATTCTAAAATCATTCAAGAATAAATAACTATGACGAGAATAACACTCATTGTCACATTTTATCTAATAACTAAACGCATCATTCTTTATTCCATTGAAATAAAAAGAAAAATGAGTTTTTGTGGAAAATATATATCAGCAAAAGAAGAAAAAAAATGATCATATCTCTGTGTTTATTCAAGTTACAGAACAGTACTTAATAGAATTTCTCTATATCTATTTGAATTATTTTCTCTTTGAAAATGTCAAAAATGATTTGTCTTTTTTTTTTTTTTGTTTTTAGTAATAAATGAAAAATGTTTATTAAAGTTTCTATTAATTAAATTAAATAACAATCTTTTGATGTAGAAAAACAAAAAACAAAAATCAGAAACATTTATTAATAATAAACAATAAAATGTTTGATCTGACAAGCACATTTTTTTTTTTGTTGAAACAAAGCTCTGAGACTTAATTACAAATATCAACTGTATTATTTCATGTTTCTCATTATCAATTGAAATGGATTCTATCATTTTTGACCAAACTTTTTTTTTTCTATTATTAAAAAATTGCTCAGATATTGTTTTAATTGCTATGTATAAAATATATTTTATATTTATTACAGTGAATAAAAAATAATTAATCAACTTTTACAGCACAAAAAAATATATTGAATAAAAAAACAAACAAAAAGAAAATTTTCATAATCTTTTCTATAATTATTTCCGAAATTTTCTTTATAGATGTAAAGTTTTCCTGTTAAAATATTTTATAGTTCATCTAATGATAATTAATCTATGAGACATGAAGAAAAAATACATTTTTTTTTTTTTTTGTCACAATCAATTTGTTATTTTTTACTATTGATTTAAGTTTTACTAATATAGAATTTATTCATATCATATGTTATTGACAAGAAAGTATTTAAATTTAGAATAGAATATTTCTTTTTGAATAATAATTTGTGTTACATAAAAATATCAAAAGGCTTGGAAATATTTTTTTCTTGTTCGTTGTTGTCGTCAGAAAAATTTCAAAAATAAACCAATAGTTTAATTATATTAGATTATAGGACATCGGGATTCTTTTTCTTTTTTTTCTTTTGTTTACTAAATTAATAAAATTGGATCGTAGCAAATAAAATTTCCTGTTTATTTTTCTAAAGAAAATAATTTTTATCATTGGATTTTTCTCTCTTGTTTTTTTTTTTCATATAATATTGTAAATAGAGCAGAAACCAATGTTACTTAGGAAAAAGAAAGATTATTATAGTAAATTAATAATGTTTTCTATTCATTAAAGCTTTTATTTGATTTAATAGATCATATATTTTTTTCAATGAAAAAAAAAAGAAAAAGAAAAAGAAAAATGACAACATTAAGACAGAAATACTATGAATGATAATGCCTTTCTGTCACTAGAATAATTAGAAAGCTTCTTGTTTCTAGCGAGTTTATTCATCATTATATTCTTTTAAAAGATGACTTCTTTCTTCTTTTTTTTTTTTCGACAATGCATATGTATGCAAGAACGTTGCATCTTTATGCTTATTTTTTTACGCTCCATTTTTTATTTGCAGAAAAACACATGAACCATTTTTTTCCAAGTTCTCATACTCTCGCTCTCCGTTGGGTTGCTGCTTTTTTTGTTATTATATCTTATGTCTAAAAGCAGAGAAAAGAAAAGAGAAAGACCTAATATAATAGAAGAGAAAAATTCTAGTTAGAGAAAAAAAAAAACTATGCAAGAAAAAAAGCAAGAGTTCTATCAAAAATAGCACAATATAGTCATGACTAGAATAATAGGAGTAAGATGCGCATTTTTGCATTCACACAAACAGAGCCATTCTATTAAATAGCATGTTGAATCGAAAGAAGAAGAAGAAGAAGAAGAAGAAGAAAAAGAGAAGAGTGTTTATTAAAAAAAGATATAGAGGAAACAACAAGAGAAACAACGACTTCTTTGTCATCTGCTCAACGTGTAAATGACATACATATTTATACACTTTTTCTTTTTTTTCATATAAATATCTAGTCAAGGGAAATCTTCTACCACTTAATCAGGAAGAAATAAAGGTATGTAAAAGTGAACATCTTCTGGGAATTAAGATAAACGAAATGTAACCATATTAAAAGAATAATCTCTAACGGGAGCAAGAAAAAAAAAAAATAGCATGCAAACGAGATGTCTCTATTAAGTCAAATATTCTTCTCCTATTTTAATATATTCAATGAAGCATAAATGAAATAATCTTTTGCATTTTTAGATATAATTCTATTGAATATTCAAAAAAAAAAAATGTCCACAATATTTAATCATAGTAGTCATATTCCAATCAATATATCTCCGTTTACTACTCATATAATTAAAACTTCAGTCATCACAATGAGTACACCAACAGAAACAATCCCACTTGAAAATCAACTATATATTATGGCAACATTTATATCGTTATATGTTTTGATATTTTTCTTTGGTATTTGTGGAAATGTACTAGTTGTTCGTAAGTATTAGGTTTTAGTTTAAGTCGAAAAAAGCAATCAATTTATATTTTATGTCTCTAGTTGTTGTTTGCCGTAATAAAGCCATGCAAACAGTAACAAATGTCTTTATTACTAACTTGGCACTTTCTGATATTCTAGTAAGAAATTTATATTCAATAATTAAATAGATAAAATCTATTTTTCATATTTCTCTTAGATGTGCTGTCTAGCAGTTCCGTTTACACCTATATCAGCGTATGGCAATACTTGGTATCTTGGTAGAATACTTTGTCATTTAGTGCCAATGTCATTAGGAATATCAGGTAAATATTAATTCCTAAGATTTATTTATTTCTTTATTTTATTAATTCTAAATCTTTTTTATTTTAAATAGTTTATGTTTCAACATTAACCTCATTAGCAATTGCTGTTGATCGTTATTTTGTTATTGTTCATCCATTTCGTTCACGTATGCGTTTAGGTGTATGCATATTATTAATAATTGTTATATGGATTGTTGGTATTTCTATATCATTACCATTAGCAATATATATGCGATTTGATAGTACAAAATGTGAAGTAAATAATAAAAAATAATAAATTTGATTACTTTTGTTTTTTTTTAATTTTATCATTCAAATAGGAATATTGGCCACAATATACATCTCGACGTTTTTTTAATTTTTCATCATTAATATTACAATATTTAATTCCATTTTCAGTTATATCATTTAGTTATTATAAAGTATGGGTTGCATTAGCACGTCGTTCATTACCAGGTCGTACACGTGTACGTGAAGCTGTTGAAATATGTCGTAAAAAACGTACAAATCGTATGTTAATTGCAATGGTTGTTATATTTGCAATATGTTGGTTACCATTAAATATTGTTCATATGGTTGCAGAATTTCATCGTTCACAATTAAGTCATTATAAAGTACTTTTTTTAAGTACACATGTTATAGCTATGTCATCAACAATTTATAATCCATTTTTATATTCATGGTTAAATGATAATTTTCGTAAAGAATTTCAAAAAATTGTACCATGTTTATTTAAAATATGTTGGTGTTTAAATCGTCGTCAAACAAGTAATTTATCGACACAATTAACAAATTTTGGTGATGGAGATATATATGAACGTCCATCAACATATCAAATGCCAGGTGAATCAACAATAGGTTCATATTCACAACAATATTCACATATAAAATCTTCAACATCAAATGGAAAAATAAATGGTGTATTAATGAAAAAATTAAGTAATCAAGAAACTTCTTTTTCATCTCCTATTGATGATACATCAGTATCACTAACTCCACAACAACATGATGTATTAATTACACCAACTAATATAAATTAAAATAATATTTGACATGTATAGTTTTTTTTTTTGCATAATTTGACCTTGTCATATATAAACATAAAAAAAAATCAATCATCGTTACGTGATTCTATTTTTTTTTTGTTTTGTTAGTTCGTTTGCATATTAAATGAATAAAACTACTTCTCAATATAAAACTAATTTTATTGAATTATATATATATATATAAGAACAAAAAGAAAAA